TGAGACAAGAGTCTCTTTGAGTCACCCAGGCTAGAAGGGCAGAGGCATCATGATAGCTCACTGCAACCTCAAACTCCTGGGCTTAAATGATCCTCTAGCCTTGGCCTCCAAGATTTTGTGTTTTATAATTTTGTTTGTTTTAAGAGAGTCTTGCTCAGTCACCCAGGCAGGGGTGCAGTGGCACCATTATAGCGCCTGGAACTCCAGGGCTCAAGTGATCCTCCCCACCTTGGCCTTCTAACGTGCTGGGATATCCAGGTGTGAGCAGCCACCAAATTGGGCCCTTTTATACATTTTTATCCATGTATGATTACCTCACAATACAAAAAGCAAAAATAGTAAATGTAACAGAACTTTATACTAGTCAAAGCAATGAAGAGAAACAGATTGCCCCATTTTCATGAACTATCTCTACTTTCTTTTTCTTTTCTTTTTGGAGAGACAGAGAGTCTCACTTTGTTGTTCTCAGTAGAGTGGCGTGGCGTCACAGCTCACAGCAACCTCCAGCTCTTGGGCTTAGGTGATTCTCCTGCCTCAGCCTCCAGAGTAGCTGGGACTACAGGCACCCGCCACAATGCCTGGCTATTTTTTGGTTGTAATTTGACCAGGGCTGGGTTTGAACCCTCCACTCTCGGTATAAGGAACTGGCACCCTACCCTCTGAGCCATTGGCACTGCCCCAAATATCTTTACTTTCAACGCAGCTGCAGTGTCACACCTGCAGGTATGACTATGTAGTAGCATACTTTTCCCAAAATGGTTTATCTTAAACCTAGTGCTATCTGACTGTGAGGTTTTTGCCCCTTTCTCAAAATGAGAAAGCGTTACCTTTCCATCTCTTTCCCTTGATTAATGAGCCTACTGCTTATTGCGTTTTATAACCAGTGATTTCACTGGTTTAATTTTCCTCATTTGGGGGTGGGTAAGTGCTTTTCCCTTACAGAAGTGGAATACAGAAAAATATACAAAAATAAAGTTTTAGTATATTTATGTCTATTTTATTTCCTTCGGGTTTACTAAATTCTTATGGTTCCTTAAGAGACTGTGCAGATGAGGCTCGCTGCGGGTTCGAATCCGGCCTCGGGCCTGTTAAACAATGACAACTGCACCAAAAAAATAGCCGGGCGCTGTAGTGGGCGCTTGTAATCCCAGCTACCTGGGAGGCTGAGGCAAGAGAATCTCTAAAGC